ATATATTTCTATAAATATATTTCTATAAATATATATATATGTATGTATATGTATATTCCTTCTTCGTTGCGAGTGCCACTCCAGTCGGTTAATTAAATTTTCTTGTTGACGTGATACCCTGTTGATATACACATACAAACCCATATACTTATACATGCATTTCATATACTTATGCTTACATTTCATGTACTTATACATACATTTCATATACTTATATATACATTTCATATCCTTATACATACAATTCATATACTAATACACATGCACATCTATACACGCATACCTTCACACAGATAACATGCCCATGCCTGTTCCTGTGCAACCAACCTCGCACACGGACCACACCCTGGCCAGTCACGTGGGCGCGCGCACAGCAAATGCCACAGACACACAGCTCACCGCAACAACTGAGTCGGAGACACCACTCTCAGCCATCACACCATCGGCACTGGAGGTGGGTTAGGGTTTCTGAGTTTGTTGTATGGTTTTTTTATGCAGGCATGTGTTAGGGTTTTAGGGTTTATTATACAGGCAAAGAGGTGGTATGGACGGGTCATGTTATCTATCGGCTCAGACTCGTTGCAGGTACGCATGGATATGTGAGCTGTTTAGAGTTTTTAGGGTTTTAGAGTTGACTAATCCTAAACCCTACAATCACAGAGTCGGGTAATACAATACACCATTGAACATGACTGCCTGTACTTGTGTATCACATGTGTTGGGTAGCACATCGTCTACTCACGTCAAAGATTGGCTGCGTGTGGTACCGTGGGTGTGGGTGTAGGGTTTAGGGTTTGCTAGTCAAGCCTTTGGCGTCCTTGTAGGCGACATTCACGGTGCCACCAGAAACACCATGTTAACAAACCAGAATGCATACCACATCCGAACCAAAACCCTGGACTCTCACGTGGTATGCCGGTCTCTATTGCAGGTGGAGTTCGGTACCTTAGGCGACGGCCAGTCCGTGACGAATCTCGAAGGCGAAGTGTCACGCGGTGAGGTAGACGAGTGGGACCAGTACATCGAATTCGAATGCACAGACGACGGCTTCTGTGGGCAGTTCACCTTCTCTGTTCCCGAGGGTACGTGGGTTTATTATGCGGGTTTTTAGGGTTTGGCCGATGTGTTGCCAGTTGTGTCTGATAAGGATGTTTTAGGGTTTAGGGTTTAAAGTTTTAGTACAGATGTTTCGGCTGTGTACACGCATAGATTTTTGATACGCTACAAGCAATGTCAGTTCGCAGCCATAAACGTACGTCAAAACGTTGGCATAAGGTTACCGCTGCGCAGCGATATGTGTATGTGAGGTATGCGTTTCAGATTTATGGTTAACGGTTTTCAGAGCACTGCCACATTTGTGTGGACATTCTGAGAGACGAGTCGTGATAGTCCTCCGGACGGTGGTATACGTCACCAAAGCCTCGAAAGTTAAAGTATATATGTCGTTCATCTGAATGGGGATATATATATATATATATATATATATATATATATATATATATATATATATATATATATATATATATATATATATATATATATATATATATATATATATATATATATATATATATATATATATATATATATATATATATATATAT